GAAAACTTCCTGTTCGATCAAGTCTCTGACGTTTGCAACTAGCTTCATACCGACGAAAGAACTCCATATCTTTTTTGGTGTGTTTCGAATGACTCGTCTCAAAAGACGTTTTAGTTTTGAAGATTTCATAAACTCGTGACTGAGAAAAACTTTGTACAATACGCTTTGCTTCTTCTCTATTCCCTTTCCAGTGATGTTAGTAAAGCCGAATTTAAAAGATTCTTCTAAATACTTATGTTTTGTTTCAAATTACTAAGGTTTAGTATACCAGTTGGCGACCCCCCAGAAAGCCCTTCGCGACCCCCAGGGGGGTCGCGACCCCCAGGTTGGGAACCCGTGGTCTAAAGACACTACGGCATCCACCAACTCTCCCCCTCCCCGGGCCCTTAGAGAGGTCCCAGCGCCTGTCTTATAGATCAGCACTAACTCCGGGACGAAGGTTTCCCGCTCCGGTTGACTGCCGCCATGGTCGAATGCCTTAACGAGCAGCCGAGAGAGGTGGAGCTAGTGGGCCCATCCATCACGAGCTGCAGTGGCTGTCCGAAGCTGCAGCATAGCCCGTCTCGAGTGAGTTCTCCCTCGCCGGCTGTACATGTCGTTAAACACTCGCCGGCGCCTCGCGTTTGTTGACATCTTACTCAAGCTTACACACCAGTTACATCCTTGTGTTTTTTCTTAAAGGTGAGCTTTGTTACAGTTTGACACAAATCGCCATTGTATCTTGGTACAATGTTAAAATGTTTTCAGCTTGCCAACAAATGGCACAGCTGAGGCCGTCATACTTCAAGCACCAGCATAATGATAAGACAGGCTTTCAAGCTTTGTTACTCAACGCTGTAAGCACGAACGTTGCTGTAGGCAAACATCAACTAACACAATGTTGATAACTACTGGGAATGTTCATGCACATTTTGTTAAAGAAAAGTACGTGAGCCATTACACTGGTCGGAATCGTATAACTTGTGGCTGCTCAAACTTTATAAGTGACACACACACATAGCTGCGTGAGTACCGTGGGGCGATCGCTGTATAACTTAACGTTATGGCAAAACAGAGCCCTTACGTATACATAATTATGTAGGGGCGGCAACACGAGAATCCAGACACAGTAATATGTAAGGGAATTAAGAAGTAAAAATAAAAACCACTTTTTGAATGGTCAACATGGGGTTCAGACCACGATTATATGGTCAACATGTGGGGGTAGAGGCCACGATTCAAATGGTCAACAAGGGGATTCAAGCAACTATTCAAATGGTCAACAGAGGAATACCATTCAGAGTTCCAATGACCAAGCAGAGAGCAAGCAACATGTCATTAGAACTGTCCTCGTCTCATCAACGGCTTATCTCAGCTAATGTGTCTGGTGAGATACCTCAGCGAGAAGTGCTATCGTGTTATCAGCGTGAGTTGAAACATTAGCACGACCTGATTCAGTTTGTGTGGGCTGGTGGGGTGTGTGGGGTGTGTGGGCTGGTGGGGTGTGTGGGGATGTGTGGTGTGTGAGTTGAAACATTAGCACGACCTGATTCAGTTTGTCAGGGCTGGTGGGGTGTGTGGGGTGTGTGGGTGGTGGGGATGTGTGGTGTGTGAGTTGAAACATTAGCACGACCTGATTCAGTTTGTGTGGTCTGGTGGGGTGTGTGGGTTGGTGGGATGTGTGGTGTGTGAGTTGAAACATTAGCACGACCTGATTCAGTTTGTCAGGGTTTCGGGGCTAGAGGGGAACATGATGTGTGGGCTGGTGGGGATGTGTGGGGTGTGTGGGGATGTGTGGGGATGTGTGGTGTGTGGGTTGGTGGGGATGTGTGGGGTGGTGGGAATGTGTGGGCTGGTGGGGATGTGTGGGTTGGTGGGGATGTGTGGTGTGAGGGTTGGTTGGGATGTGTGGGTTGGTTGGGATGTCTGGTGTGTGGGTTGGTGGGGATGTGTGGTGTGTGGGTTGGTGGGATGTGTGGGTTGGTTGGGATGTGTGGGTTGTGGGTTGGTGGGGATGTGTGGTGTGTGGGTTGGTGGGATGTGTGGGTTGGTTGGGATGTGTGGTGTGTGGGTTGGTTGGGATGTGTGGGGTGGTGGAAATGTGTGGTGTGTGGGGTGGTGGGTGGTGGGAATGTGTGATGTGTGGGGTGGTGGGAATGTGTGGTGTGGGGTGGTGGGAATGTGTGGTGTGTGGGTTGGTTGGAATGTGTGGGTTGGTGGGAATGTGTGATGTGTGGGGTGGTGGGAATGTGTTGTGTGTGGTTTGGTGGGAATGTGTTGTGTGTGGTTTGGTGGGAATGTATGGTGTGTGGGTTGGTGGGAATGTGTGGGGTGGTGGGAATGTGGGGTGTATAGGTTAGTGGGAATGTGTTGTGTGTGAGGATAAAACCAACCCAACCATGAGAATAAAACCCAACCAACCCAACATTGAGAATAAAAACCAACCAACCCAACCACGAGGATGAAACCAACCCAACCACGAGGATGAAACCAACCCAACCACGAGAATAAAACCAACCCAAGCACGAGGATGAAACCAACCCAACCACGAGGATGAAACCAACCCAACCACGAGGATGAAACCAACCCAACCATGAGAATGAAACCAACCCAGCCACGCGGACGAAACCAACCCAACCATGAGAATAAAACCAACCCAACCACGAGAATAAAACCAACCCAACCATGAGGATGAAACCAAAAGACAGCAGATAAGGTTCAAGTAACAAGAAAAAAAGCTGACAGTTGAAACCGTTCTGTATCAGCCGGGAGCCACAGGGAGCAGCCCATGAGAGCGGTGAGTGGGTCACGTGCACCCCGGGGTTCCCCCTCCCCACCCCTGCACATAGTTTAATGCACAAAATTCAATTACATTTTTAGGTACACTCTTTTAATGTAATCAAATATCAGGCTTGATGAGAAACATCATTGTTTGACCTCCGACCTCCACACAAATTTGATTATGCATGTAAAAAAAAACATTCTGAAAGTTTCTTTTAAATTCGATCCTCGAGGGATGCAGCTAGCAGCGAGAAAAAACGCGAGACTTGACAAGTGCGATATCTCCCTCGAGATTATAAATATTGGGATCGCAGGTAAACACCTGGTCCTGTCAGTGATGGGGGCGAGGCCTACACGGGGTGAGCTCATTTTCCCCTCGTTTCCCCACATTTTATGCTCGGGATTTCGCCGATAGACTGATCTAGTCTCAATTTAATTAAGTAAAAACAAGATGGAAAAACACGGTGACTTTGCTATAATAATTATAAACCGTTTATTAAGAGACGGGATGGGGTTGGGTGCAACCACTGCTGATATATAAGTAAAACCGTCAGTTTAGCCGGAAGTTGTACAAATTGGTGCTGCTACAAGCTACATTTTAATGTGGGGAAAAAATTACCCAATTAAATAATATTAATGAGTGCATATTAAGTTTATTTTATTTATATTGATGCCAAATTTTACTGAAATTTCTTGTAAAAACAGCATTTACTTTATGAATGTATTCAAATGTTACAAGAGTGTTCACATGAAGTACCAGCAGAAGGAAAAATGAAACACTTGAAGGATTGAGATATAGATGTATCAGTGTACATCGTCAACACACATCCACAATAATTGGGCTATGGGAACTGGGGCTAACAATAATTCGCATGTACGAGTTATAAAAAAATTAATTCCAACAACCAGCTTGAAACTAACACCAACTGACGAGAGTTTTAAACGCATATTTCACAAGCCCGCCCTAAAACAATGACAGTATCAACCAAAAAAAGGTTTACTTTCTGAGTTTTTTCTTACTGGGCTACACCCAATGGCAGCTTTGAACAAGGGGAAAGAACTAGGACAGAAAGCCGAGTTGTATCACAGGATAACGGTTCGTTGAAAGGGGAGATAACTCGAGAAGAGTTGCGTGATAGGATAACACGAGGCAGATTTCACATGTCCTTGCCATAGACAGCTGGGGTTATAGGGAAACAAGGACAAATGGGTTCTTGTGTACACACGACTGTTTTGGTACTATGGTGGGCACACACAACATTTTTTAAAGTACATTCATTCATTTACATTAGGCTTTTATACTAGGAGCTATGACAGTTACATCCCTTGAATCAGGTAAATATCTTATGTAACAGTTACATATACACACAACCTTTACACCACGCAACATCCCTTACATTACACTTACATCAGTTATATCAGGTACATTGCTTATATCACAGTTACATCCCTTTAAACTTTTCCCAATTACATTTTAAATACACACATAAGAGAAAAATTTGAATTAGGTCTATAGTTATTTTATGGCAAATAAATATATGTGCCACTATGGGGGAAAATGTTAAAATCTGGTACCTTGTTCTACAGCTATGTTGTACTATGGGGGAAAGTGGTAAAACTGTACCTTATGTTTCTACAGCTATGTTGTACTATGGGGGAAAGTGGTAAAACTGTACCTTATGTTTCTACAGCTATGTTGTACTATGGGGGAAAGTGGTAAAACTGTACCTTATGTTTCTACAGCTATGCTGTACTATGGGAGAAAGTGGTTAAACTGGTACATTGTTCTACAGCTATGTTGTACTATGGGGGAAAGTGGTAAAACTGGTACATTGTTCTACAGCTATGCTGTACTATGGGAGAAAGTGGTTAAACTGGTACCTTGTTCTACAGCTATGTTGTACTATGGGGGAAAGTGGTAAAACTGGTACATTGTTCTACAGCTATGTTGTACTAAGGGAGAAAGTGGTAAAACTGGTACCTTATGTTTCTACAGCTATGCTGTACTAAGGGAGAAAGTGGTTAAACTGGTACCTTGTTGTTCTACAGCTATGTTGTACTAAGGGAGAAAGTGGTAAAACTGGTACCTTGTTGTTCTACAGCTATGTTGTACTAAGGGAGAAAGTGGTAAAACTGGTACCTTGTTGTTCTACAGCTATGTTGTACTAAGGGAGAAAGTGGTAAAACCTTATGTTTCTACAGCTATGTTGTACTATGGGGGAAAGTGGTAAAACTGGTACCTTGTGGTTCCACGGCTGAGACAGCAGTGACATGGAAGTCAGCTGAGACAGTGTAGACCGAGTGGGTGGAGGTCAAGCGGTTGGTGGCCTTACAGGTGTAGACAGCTGACTCAGTGACCACGTCCAGCAGTCTGGAGGTCCAGCCCACCTTGTCCTCATCTGTCTCCTCCAGCACTGAGCTGTGGTTGCTCATCTGTGGGGGGGGTACAGTACACGGCTGTCAGCCACACATAGACACAGCATCAGACACACACACGGCTGTCAGCCACACATACATCTGTCAGCCACACATACACAGCTATCAGATACACCTAATTAAAGCCTCACCACACCTAGACATGGCCTCAACCACACCTAGACATGGCCTCAAATACACTTAGACATGGCCTCAACCACACCTAGACATGGCCTCAACCACACCTAGACACAGCCTCAACCACACCTAGACACAGCCTCAACCACACCTAGACACAGCCTCAAAACCTAATGACATATCCTATCACTGTATCACACAACCAATGATATAGACAACAAAACTGACCCATTCACTGTATCACACAACCTGTGTATAAAAACTGACCGGTATATTGTTCTTGTACCAGATGATGGTAGGCTCTGGTATGGCAGCCACAGTGCATGAGAACCACTTCTCTGTACCAGTGAAGACTGTGATGTTTTCTGTGGGCTGTTGGCTGGCTAGGGAAACTGGGGCTGTAGGATCAACAGAACTAGTTGAGCTATCAGATCAGATTTGATCAACTCTACAAACACAATTAGGGGATGATGTGGTCAGGTAGTAAAGTGCATGACTGCTAACCCTAAAGTCATTAGTTCAGATACCATGGGGATGATGTGGTCAGGTAGTAAAGTGCATGACTGCTAATCCTAAAGTCATTAGTTCAGATACCAAGGTTGAGTCTGCAAGACACCTCTTAGTCCATCCAACTGCGATAGGTCAAGCACTCACTAAAGGCATTTGGGCTTTACAGTTTAGTTCACATAAACAGGTGAACTCTACTTCATCTGCTCTATTGGCCACCAGGTATGAAAGGGTAACCTTTACAAACAACAAATAAAAGAAAGTGATGGAGTACAATGTGACCCAATCCACAGTCCAACAGGAAGTCTGTAGGACACCCATAAAGGCACCGAGGTTTGGTGGGTCACTAATCATAACTTGAATAGCCCAAACTAATCATGGCATCTTGCAGTACAAAGGAGAGAAAAACAAGGTACAGATAAAACTTGACCCTCTCAAGAAATGGGACTCACCTTCAACACGTATGGGCGTAATCTCTGACTCCAGAATTCTCTGGTACTCATCCACAACTTTGCACTGGTACTTCCCTCGATTGATTATATGGATTTTCTTAAAGGTCAGCGTCCCCAGGCTCTTGTTGATCTCAAAGAAAAAGTCCTTGTTGTTGTCATTCAGGAGGATGTTGTTGTGGTACCTGTCAGAGACATTGGGGGAGTCATGTGACATGCTACTGGTCATGTGACCTGCTACTGGTCATGTAACCTGCTACTGGTCATGTGATGTGTCATGTTACCTGCTACTGGTCATGTGATGTGTCATGTGACCTGCTACTGGTCATGTGATGTGTCATGTGACCTGCTACTTGTCATGTGATGTGTCATGTGACCTGCTACTGGTCATGTGATGTGTCATGTGACCTGCTACTGGTCATGTGATGTGTCATGTGACCTGCTACACGTCATGTGACCTGCTACTGGTCATGTTATGTGTCATGTCACCTGCTACTGGTCATGTGATGTGTCATGTCACCTGCTACTGGTCATGTGATGTGTCATGTCACCTGCTACTGGTCATTTGATGTGTCATGTCACCTGCTACTGGTCATGTGACATGTCAACTCAGCTGCTACTGGTCATGTGATGTGTCATGTCACCTGCTACTGGTCATGTGATGTGTCATGTCACCTGCTACTGGTCATGTGATGTGTCATGTCACCTGCTACTGGTCATGTGACCTGCTACTGGTCATGTGATGTGTCATGTTACCTGCTACTGGTCATGTGACCTGCTACTGGTCATGTGATGTGTCATGTTACCTGCTACTGGTCATGTGATGTGTCATGTCACCTGCTACACGTCATGTGACCTGCTACTGGTCATGTTATGTGTCATGTCACCTGCTACTGATCATGTCACCTGCTACTGGTCATGTGATGTGTCATGTCACCTGCTACTGGTCATGTGACATGTCAACTCAGCTGCTACTGGTCATGTCACCTGCTACTGGTCATGTGACCTGCTACTGGTCATGTGATGTGTCATGTCACCTGCTACTGGTCATGTGACCTGCTACTGGTCATGTGATGTGTCATGTGACCTGCTACTGGTCATGTGATGTGTCATGTGACCTGCTACACGTCATGTGACCTGCTACTGGTCATGTTATGTGTCATGTCACCTGCTACTGGTCATGTGATGTGTCATGTCACCTGCTACTGGTCATGTGACCTGCTACTGGTCATGTGATGTGTCATGTTACCTGCTACTGGTCATGTGATGTGTCATGTTACCTGCTACTGGTCATGTGACCTGCTACTGGTCATGTGATGTGTCATGTTACCTGCTACTGGTCATGTGATGTGTCATGTGACCTGCTACACGTCATGTGACCTGCTACTGGTCATGTTATGTGTCATGTCACCTGCTACTGGTCATGTGATGTGTCATGTTACCTGCTACTGGTCATGTGATGTGTCATGTCACCTGCTACTGGTCATGTGACATGTCAACTCAGCTGCTACTGGTCATGTGATGTGTCATGTCACCTGCTACTGGTCATGTGATGTGTCATGTCACCTGCTACTGGTCATGTGATGTGTCATGTCACCTTCTTCTGGTCATGTGACCTGCTACTGGTCATGTGATGTGTCATGTGACCTGCTACTGGTCATGTGATGTGCCATGTGACCTGCCACTGGTCATGTGATGTGTCATGTGACCTGCTACTGGTCATGTGATGTGTCATGTAACCTGCTACACGTCATGTGACCTGCTACTGGTCATGTGATGTGTCATGTGACCTGCTACTGGTCATGTGATGTGTCATGTGACCTGCTACTGGTCATGTCACCTGCTACTGGTCATGTGACACATCATGTCACCTGCTGCTGGTCATGTCACCTGCCACTGGTCATGTGACACATCATGTGACCTGCTACTGGTCATGTGACCTGCTACTGGTCATGTGATGTGTCATGTCACCTGCTACTGGTCATGTGATGTGTCATGTCACCTGCTACTGGTCATGTCACCTGCTACTGGTCATGTGACCTGCTACTGGTCATGTGACCTGCTACTGGTCATGTGATGTGTCATGTCACCTGCTACTGGTCATGTGATGTGTCATGTCACCTGCTACTGGTCATGTGACATGTCAACTCAGCTGCTACTGGTCATGTGATGTGTCATGTCACCTGCTACTGGTCATGTGATGTGTCATGTCACCTGCTACTGGTCATGTGATGTGTCATGTCACCTTCTTCTGGTCATGTGACCTGCTACTGGTCATGTGATGTGTCATGTGACCTGCTACTGGTCATGTGATGTGTCATGTGACCTGCTACACGTCATGTGACCTGCTACTGGTCATGTTATGTGTCATGTGACCTGCTACTGGTCATTTGATGTGCCATGTGACCTGCCACTGGTCATGTGATGTGTCATGTGACCTGCTACTGGTCATGTGATGTGTCATGTAACCTGCTACACGTCATGTGACCTGCTACTGGTCATGTGATGTGTCATGTGACCTGCTACTGGTCATGTGATGTGTCATGTGACCTGCTACTGGTCATGTCACCTGCTACTGGTCATGTGACACATCATGTGACCTGCTGCTGGTCATGTCACCTGCCACTGGTCATGTGACACATCATGTGACCTGCTACTGGTCATGTGACCTGCTACTGGTCATGTGATGTGTCATGTCACCTGCTACTGGTCATGTGATGTGTCATGTGACCTGCTACTGGTCATGTGACCTGCTACTGGTCATGTGATGTGTCATGTCACCTGCTACAGGTTGATGACGTATAAAAAAATTGCTGATTTATCTCACCATCTGACTTTCCCACGACTGGCCAGTGGGCAGTAGAGTCTCAGCCTGGTGTCTCTCAGTATAGCCAAACCTTGGTAGCCTGCTGATAGTGTTAGCTCAGTCAGTGAGGGCCAGTACACAAACAAGAGACCACAAATACAAAGACAGCATTTCAATAGTGAGAAATATGCTCAGTTAAACAAAATTAGTAGTATAACCTGTGGGTTTAGCTCCAGTTTAACTTCAGTTGATTTAGCTCAAACCACACATCCACATCAAACATAACACACAATATGTGCCAACTCACAACTATAATCTTACCTGACCTGTTCCTTACAGACAGGTGTAACAAACACCTATAAACTTACCAGACTTGTTCCTTGGGGGACTATGTTCAACATACTCAACTAGATGACAGCTAGTGCAGTTAATCATTTGATCTGTGGACAACAAGAAATCAGGATCAAACTCACAGAATGGATATGTTACAATGTGGTGGGCCTCGCTCAACCAATGCTATGGATCGTCCAGTGTTGCATTGGTCAAGTAACAACACAGAATGTTACAATGTGGTGGGCCTCGCTCAACCAATGCTATGGATCGTCCAGTGTTGCATTGGTCAAGTGACAACACAGAATGTTACAATGTGGTGAACTCACTCAACCAATGCTAAGGATCGTCCAGTGTTGCATTGGTCAAGTGACAACACAGAATGTTACAATGTGGTGAACTCACTCAACCAATGCTAAGGATCGTCCAGTGTTGCATTGGTCAAGTAACAACACAGAATGTTACAATGTGGTGAACTCACTCAACCAATGCTAAGGATCGTCCAGTGTTGCATTGGTCAAGTAACAACACAGAATGTTACAGTGTGGTGTGGCTCTATCAACCAATGCTATGGATCGTTTAGAGTTGCAGCGGTCAAGGAACAAAGTCCAGAGAACGCGCTGCCTCGAACTAAGTTAAGCACAGATGTGGTTTTGAAAAGTTAGCAATGACCGTATATTGGGTAGAGTTGTTTTTATTGTGGCCTGTGGGCTGTACTGTAAACATGGCTGTAGGTAGCCAGTCTCGTAGTTTGAGATGGCTCCTAGACGAGCATACATGAGATTGTCAAGTGTGAGATGCCTGAAAGAGTGAGTGGAAGCGGTTTGTGAAATCATTCAATAAGGTATAAGGCTGTTAGATTCACGTGTGTGGGAGTCGATGCATGTGTACACGTGAGTGTGTGTGTGTGGGGGGGGGGGCGATTTTCGCTCCGTTCGGAAATAACGAAAACAACCATCTTGTAGAAAGTGTTTAAAATGTATGTTGGTGAAAACAAAAGCCAGTTCCGTACACCTGCCTTCTTCAATAAACACCTTGGTGAGTTCAACACAGGTGTGTGTTTATTTCCTCAGGTTTCTAAAAGCATTTTAATGCATGTTATGTGGTGAGAAGTGTTTTTCTTAAAGGAAATTCGCGATTCGCTAGACGAACTTATCAGTGAACGAGCCATATCAAGGTACAGATGACTGATGCGCCACTGCAATCCCATGTTAAAAGGTCCATCATCCAATGTGTCGAGCACTTTAGGAAAACAGAAACTTTGAACAAAAAATGTTAGGGTTTGTTTTGATGAAGACCAGTTAGGTTTTGATACTGTTATTGGGATGTATTGTTTAGGACCGCGGTTAGGGTCAGGTTTGGTACATTTACCGGCCATCCCGAAAAATATAATTGAGTTGCTCGTAATAGTCGAACGGACACTTCCAACGGTTAAAGTACACACATATATATTTAGTGCACAGGTTTTCAACCTATTGGTTGCTATAATTTTTTTGTGGGGTCGACTACTTATACAGGATCCAAAAATCTATTCACAATTATAAGGTTTTGTTTTGTTTTTTGTTTATTTTTATATATTTTTAAAAAGTTTTTACTATAATAGCTCAAAGAAATGTATGTTAGTTAAAGCAAACGTAGGAGAAAAAAAGAAATGTTTGTTAGTTTCCACATTGCATAAAGCTTTGGTCTGAAATGATATGCGATCAGATTCGTGACAACCACCTCCGTATGTATTTCATCAACACTTCTAGCAACACTGTTTACATGTTTACAAAAGGCGATCTAAAACACACACATGGACGGAAAAGTGAAACATTAGCTTATGGAACCACTGCAAGTGAAGAGTGACCAGTGTCATCTGGGCTGACCCTTCTACTCTAGTGCCCAGCAACAGGATGACAGGACAGAAGTTGGTCTGTCTATTGAACAATGTTTAGTTAGATGGTGAGAACAACGTCTTGCCACTGTATCACGTTGTTTAGTTGTTGTGACAATAGCTGTATCCTCTTGTCCCATTCATGAGCTGGAGGTAAGGTCCTGCTACCTACAGTATGTTGGGGCTTGGTTGTCCTGAACTTATCAGGACCATCCATTGTGAGTTTTGTTGTCGGCCAAGAGATCGACTCCAAAATATCAAAGATGTTTTTTAAAGCGGACCTTGTTGTATACTGGTGGAGTTTTTGGAGTAGGGGCAGGACTTTTGGTTAAGGGGGATGACGTTTGTGTGTGTGATGGGGATGGGAGACCTTTTGATGAAGGACCGGACATTTTGGCTGAAGGTTGGACATGCGGACATTTTGGTGGAGGGGGTGGACATATAGAACGTCATAAGTCTGGTCGACTGAGCTAGCGTGATGATTGCCACAGTTTGAAACTGCACGCACTACAGCAGCTGGTGTTTCAAACAAACGTCAGTCAACATAGACACGTGCATGGGGCTGTAGCGTGAATCAAAACAAGGCGGGACTTACGTCACTAAACACGGATTAGTGCACAATAGTTTTCATATCATGTGACCAAAGCCACGATTTTACTTAAGACATTTTTATGGCTTTCGGCTTACATTAGACATAATTTGGGCAAAGAGTTTACGCAACAAATGATTAAATCCAGGAGCGTATATTGCAAACGATTACAATAATAAGCAAGAGCTTACAAAACACGTGATTAGAGCCACGAGCTTATTATACCACGTGACGAGAGCCTTCAGAAGATGACATGCACTAAATTGCTTGCATGACCCAGTGTACTAGCAGTTGGCTATCAATTAATTATCAAACATCCGTATCATTAGTCTTGAGTTTTTCTGTCCGAATAGCTAGTACGGCGGTGTACCTGGTACAGCCCACTCCGTGACGGGCCAACCTTGGTCAAGTATGTTAGCTATTTCACTGCTGACATGGCAGTGGCTGGCGTCACACACTGCCACACGTGGTTACATGATAACATACATGCGTGTATATATGGATGTATATGTGATGTCACACACTGACACATGTCTCTATTATGTGAAGTATACACACGCGTATATAGGCATTTCTACACATGACGTCACAAAATGTTGGATATATATATATATATATATATATATATATATATATATATATATATATATATATATATATATTAATATATGCATATATAAATATATACACATGAAACAAAACACTTTCCAGCCCACCTGTTTGAACTTTGACATTACAAACACAATGCACTTCCCACCCACAACATTCTAGCCCGCCCACTCAATAGCACTAATAGAATGCCACTTTAGCAAGTCTACTTCCATTGTCATCTGTTTACCTCACAGTAACACAGACAACAGCAACATTTCATCAACATTTTTACATTTAGAATACGTTTCTTTCTTATAAACATGCTTATATTTTCTGGTGTTGTGTTTGATGTACATAAATAGAACATAATATCCAATGAGATAGATAATGACTAAAAATAGACAAATTACTATTTTTAACATCCATCCTCTGAGTGATAAGAACACAAGTTTTCTGGTCCATTTATAAAAACAAAATAACTGTCTTAGACTAGAATGATGTTCAAATTCAATAACAATTGATTTTTCATCAGTTTCTATGAAGTTTCAGCTGAGTCAGCACATTTTTTTCTAAAAATTTAAGACATTCTAGAAGTTTAAAATGTGTACAATATATATATGAAGTAAAGTGCAAATGTTAGCTGTCATCTTAAGTTCTAGGCTACAATATTAGCTCCAATGTCCTAGACTAAAACATAAGTCCTACCTCCCACAACTAACATATTAGCCCAATTGTCCTATTGTGCAATCTACATACTAGTCCTATTTTAATAAGCAACAATATTAGCCAAAATATAATACACAATATTGTCCTTAATGGCCCAATATCCTAAACAACAATATTCTGTTTTATGTTTCTTGCATGTCTGTTGTATATGATTGAAAAGTTCAGGGTGACAATAATTTCTCATGATACCTTTCGTGAGTATCACATGTTTACATTGAAGAGTTAGCAACTGTATTGTCAAATTTTTAAACTGATAATAAAATGATGCGGGTAAAATGACAACAAACTTTAAAATAGTGCCTAAACATTTATAAGGTTTGCGCAATGTTGATTATACTCTTTGTAAGCGAGTTTGTGCATTGTGTTTTTTCATTAGTGTTTACCTCTTTTCAAGACAGATATAATATAGAAACTCACATTCCTTGAGAAGTAAATATTTATAGTATCTAAGAAACTTATACATATAAAAACTCACAAAAATTTTAACCTCACTACTTGCATTTATCTTAAGTGTTGTACCCAACTACCCATTATAAAGATTAGAGTTCTCGGTTTCATGATTATGATTAACAGGAATTACCTCGTTTGAAAGAACAATTTAATATTTCTTTATAAGATCAAAATGATTGTGTCTGTTACATTTGTGTCTTTCAACCAACTTTATTCTCGCAACAAAGCACGCCTTTTATAAATCATGTTATCATCTTAAGCTTAAGCTTATGGACTGAAATGTAATGAAATATTTAATGTAAATTAATCCTGAAGCATATAATGGCTTCAAGTCATCTCAATAGCTTTTTTGTTCAGTACTATTAAACTATAAGTAAATAACAAACATGTAAATTAATTATTTAATTTTTTAAAATTTTGACAAAAGTATTTAATCAAAGTCGATCTATATCCTGCATTTTAAACTGAAAATTATAAAATGTTTTTATATCAATAACCATTTAGTTTGTACAATGAGGTACCTGCAAATACACTAATCTAGGTTTTGTGTACGTCTAGGTCTACCATAATTTTGAAAGCTTTTCTTAATTTTATTCCTCAAGGAAAGTTGAAGGGTGGACATCACTAACATTTTTAAAATGATTCAACCAAGAAAAAATATAGGCCTAATTATTAATTAACTAACATTAATAATACAAATATAATTAATATATAACATCATGGATGACTACTAGACTATATTAAAATGTCCAGAAGCCTATAATTATTTAATTTTATAATATTATAATTATAGGCTTATTATAATATTGTGGTGTATATAATAATAAATTTACACAGGCCTATAGCCCGACTAATATAGCAACTCCTATGCTGGACCAGTCTATACTGACTATATAGGCTACATAATATAATGTAGTCTAATAATTCAATGTACTATTTTAAAGTATATAGTATAGAGGCTATAGGGCTCCTACTGAGAATATAGTAGGCCAACTATAATTATGTATAGGGTAGATTTATTATGGACCTTACAATTATGGAGTCACATTAAAGTGGCTATAGCACTATAATTATATATATGCTATGGATCTGGCATAAACATACATGTGCTCTTAAAAACCACATATAGGCTATTTGGGAAATAAAGTTATTAAAAAATAGACATAGGCCCTACATAGATCTAATTACTATTAATGAGGGCTTATTTAGGACCTATTAATTTAAGTTTCATTTGATTTTAGTGAACCCTATTCAGTTGAATGAAGGGGACAAAATCAAAATACTCATTTAAGTATTATAATAGGGCCTAGTATACTAGTATTATTTTAGTTAATTTTAGTATGAGGTTTTGAATAAATAATTTACTAATTACTAATTAGTAATTAGTCATAGGCCTACATATTTTTTTTACATAAATCTAGATTAGTGATTAGATCAAAATCTAGATTCTAGATATCAATCTAGATCTAGAGACTAGATTATTAAGTCTTATCAACAAAAATATTATTTTTAGATGTAAATCTAGTGTAGTAATTTAAATATGAGAAATACTAGATTCTAGTAATACTGTAGTAGGGTTGTCGGTATCGGCCGAGATCGCGGTAAAAACATGACCCGAAATCGCCCATTACTTTCTGATACCGGGCGCACGAGATTTGGTTTTGCATACTAATAAGTTTTTAATTTACGGTGATTAATTAAGTTTAAAAGGTCATTTCCTAATGTTAAATGAAAAGTAGAATGGTTTTCCCATTGTTTTGATGGCTTAGCGATCTGATTGCACGCTGTCTCTGCTTTGGTCTTCCCCCTGTTTGAAGGCTAGTTTCAAATACGTTGGAATCACGATTTTTTAAAAGGTTATTCTAGATGAGTGAAGATTACTGAGCAGACATATCTTATATATGTGGAAATGATATTTGTTTTTGGATATTTTGACTCTGACATTAGATATACTCGTTTAGAGGTGGTCACTGTGTGTAGGTCGCGTTGCCACCATTGTTATATTTTTTCATCCCGATCTTCCGGCCTTTAAGTTTGATCAACTAACAACAGCATTCTTATGGAATGTGCAAACAAATCTCCTAATTTTTTATTTCAAAATATATTTACATACCCATCTTTAATTTTTTCAGCTCTAGTTCTAGTTTTGCAGAATATGTTTTTCCTAAAATCCAATTTTGTCAGACTAGACTGACAAGAGTCAGACCTAGATCTAGATCTAGGTTACCTGTCTGTTGCTAACACTAGCATTGTGCTAACTGTAATTTTAAGTATTCAAGTTCTACTTACCCTTAGATATAGTTATATGCTGAAAATCAGAATCCATACACAATTCACACTTAAAAACATTGATCTGATAACTTCATTTCACTTATTACAAAATGGCTTTTATATGGACTCTACTTCACCTGCCCAAAATAACAAGGCAGTTATAGACACATTACACAGTGTTCAAGTCATTTACTTTAGATTTCTGACTATGGAGTTCTTTCATTTACTGTATTTATATAAAATACTGCTTTAGAAACATTTTCATATTTGCGCAGCAGTTTTATAACAAAATGGCTTAAAGATGGACTCTACTTCACCTGCCCAAAATAATGAGGCAATTATATGCACATAACAGTGTTCAAGTCATTTACTTTAGATTTCTAACTTTGTAGTTCTTTCATTTGCTGTATTTATATAAAATATGGCTTTAGAAACATTTTCATATTTGCGCAGCACACAGTTTTTTGGGGTTATGGGAGGAAGCCAACACAAAAATATAAGTTCTGTATTATTTTTATTCATTTCAACAGTATTTACAAGTTCTATATATCATTCTAGTTAAACTCTGCAAATATGAACAAAATACAACTGCAAGTAAAATAACTATGCTCAATTTATTCAGGTATACCATGACTTGTCACAATTGGCCAATGCAAAAGCAAGGGGATTCCACCCCTCACAAAAAAATTCGCTAAAAAAAAACTATTTGAGCTAGACAGAAAATCTTTTTTGTTTTGTTTTCATATAGTTGAGCTCTACAAGAATATGTAATTTTTATTTTTATATGATGATTAATGTTTTTTTACCAAAATCCCTAACTGTAGTAAACTGTAGTTAACTGTAGTACTGTACTGTAACTGTATGCCTCATAATAATATTTTTGTCATCTGAGTCATCTAACACTTTGTAAGTAGTCTAACAAAAGACATGAGAAATCAGAGCCAAAAGCTGTACAACAAAAAGAAATAACGGTTTAGAATCTGAGGAAATATAATGAAAGATAAAGATACGACTTTTTCTACCTCCTAACGAGCCTTGGACCTCCAGCGTTGTCATCAAACACAGCAGAGTCAATGTGACCACTTCGAAGACCCATCGATGCGAAATCATCCTACTCGTCGACTGAAACTTGAATAAATATCCAAAGTTTATGACGGGCCATTATAGTCGATGATTTAATCCATTTCACCGTTGACACACAGTTTCCTCAACACTTTCTACATGTTTCTTCTGGCTACGCTTAACTTCCCGACCACTTACATTCCATTACTACAAGAACCACACACGATGTTAGCACGACACAATCACACAACACAGTATTGACAGCTTCGGCGACATTCGGCAAAGGGCTCGGCTACTTCCGATGATTCCGCAAGGTGCTATGACACAGTCACAATGGTAAACTCGGTTACCGGGAAGATATTTCCGATGTTACAATTCATTCCAGGCGTTGGTATTCCGTTCTTAAATCTGACATTAGAAAAAATTAACAGAATTCTTGTAAACAGATCTCGGTCTAACAAACCCATACGGCATATTTCTTTTAATTCAACAAAAGCAGCATACTTTGTTATACAAATTGTTTAAAATCGTTACGGTTGGTCGTATAGGTAAATAAACACAAGCGTTAGCAGACAAGACATTTTCTCGCATTTTTCTCATTTCTTTCTTGTATGTGTAAGGGCAAGGCGACTGTTAATGTGCAAGTACAAGCGGGGCGCGCAGGGTATAACGCTTCGCTATGAAAACAAACTAATCGTATCTGGTTGAATGCTGGTTGGCAGTGGTTTGAGGACTATTTCATTGAGGAGGGTTGTAGTTGTATGTTGGACTCTGTTGAACTCGTGTACAAAATAAAGATATGTTATTTTTTTTTCCTTCTAATAAATAGGTGTTGTTGTTTTTTGTTTTGTTTTTAAATTAATTTCAATATTATTAGACGATGAGGTCAAATTGTAGGGCTCTTAATAACCTACTTTTAAAAAATTTAATAGGCTCGTCTTGAGATTAGGCCTGAAAGTAAAAGGGATTTTTTTAGTTATGAATTTAACTTTACACTTTTTAAAATAAAATTAATTGTTTACGGTGCATATTATTTTTAGCGCAATTTCCATTCTGGAGAATTGCGTTTATTAACTCGTCTTTTCTGGGAATGTGTGTCCGGGCTTTAAGTCGTATCTCCTCCTCAACGAAGCAATATCGATGACTAGTTCCAAAAGCAATTATGTTAAGCAAGTTACCAGGATGAACATAGGCCAAAAAAATTCCGGGTTTCTTTCATGGATTTCCCGGAAAAGCCAAAAAACTCGGGAAAAATGCAGTTTTTGGCCCATATCTCGGCAACCAGACCACTTAGCGACTTGAAACATTTACCAATCGATTACTGCCATAATTTAGAACAATATTGCCGAAGAAAGTTTTCAAAAATATCCTTTCGTTCGGTCACAAAAAATTTTTTTAATTAATTAAAATTTGGACCGAATTAGTAGGCATGTTTATCCAACCCCACCACACGCGTCATCACGTTCAATAGCTGCGCCATCACGTTCAATGGCTGCGTCATCACGTTCGGTAGCTAGGCGCGCAATGGTTTTTAGTCATGTAACTCTATTGTAAATAAAACATGTAAAATACTGAAAAAAATAATAATAAAAAACGTTTTAATAACTAACCAATGGTTTACTAACCCTGCTCTTGATTTACGCTACGACAGAGCTATTTTTAGATAACATAAGGAAATTGCGCTAAAATTGTCACTAGACTTTTTAATTACCTTGTATTAAATATTATTCATTAAATGTAGAATCCAGTCGGGAAAGCCTATAGGTATATGAATAAGTAGGCCCATAACTATCTTATATATAATGGGCTATGTGCTAATATTGCATTATCGAGACCTTATAGCTAAAGACAATTTATTACTTTAAAAAAATGAAATGCTGATTTGATTTTTTAAATGTAGTTGACATGCATAAATGACGTCACTGGTAGAATGAGAAAAGAATTTGTTACGGTGTGCTCATAAAAATGTGTGTTGGGAGGGGGGGGGGGGTATTCATTCAACGTCATTTTTTTTGTGGGGGGGGGGGGGGGTCTTTTGTGTTGAAGTTTTGACCATGGGATGAAGGAGTAAAATTAGCAATACATGACGTCTTTCAAGGATTCAATCCCTTACTTTAACAAACACTCAAAAAGCGTTTTTTTTTTAAATCAATGTGTTTTTTTTATGATCCACATAATGTAAATTTTATCGTTTATTTATTGTGACACTGGAAGCAAAAAAAAAAAAAAAAAAAAAAGAAAAGAAAAAAAAGAAGCTAATTTTTTTTAAATAAAATAAAACCTAAATTTTTTTTAAAAAGTCGAGAAGATTCGCATCCCGATGTTTGTAAAGATCATAACCTGCCCGAGGTTCTCAAGGCCGTTACCTTCAGGGGCAAGCAGACGCAACCAGTAGAATTGTGGCGTTTTATCTAAATGTGAAACCATGCTCATCAACTGCCCTCGTAAAACGTTACTTTAAAAAAATCTCCTCTGCTGCTCATCTCAATAAAGTGATAGTGCTCAGATGTTAAATTGATGAATCAATAAAGCGATAGTTCTCAGATGTTAAATTGATGAATCATAGCACAAGTGTAAGCGTCTGACTTATCTCTGAAATTAAGAGAACTCAAAAGTGGGAATTGAGAGTTTTCACCTTACGCGTGCTACACCAGGTAAAAAGTGGGATTTTTTTTTTATGTCTGTGTTCGCCAGATGCAATAATGCTTTCATCATCAACCGACATTTGCACACATTTTAGCTATACTCCAAATTTTCATTTCTTTCGTTTGATACGAGTGGCTCACGATCCCCAAGTTGTAGACTCTGGGCTATTTTTATCTTTATGTTAAAACCATTCCGTCTGTTCTTACGCCATTGCAACATGTTACAAACATTGGTCTGTTTAAAAAACATGTCTCTGTAAATTGTATTCAAACACTGTTTTTACATCAATGGTACGTGTTTACTGCTCTGTTTTTACATGGCAATATGTTTAAAACAATGATATGTTTTTACGTGGCAATATGTTTAAAACAATGATATGTTTTTACATGGCAATGTGTTTAAAACAATGATCTATTTTACAACACTTGATAATGTTAGACTTTTATAGGCCCAAGTCTAAGACTTAGACCACAAATGACATCACATCGAAAGTAAACATTCAAATGTTTTCCGTGCTGACCAGTGCACTGACCAACTAATGAATAGTGCATTTCTTTTCTTGCCGTGAATAGACATGTTTCCTTAGGCAATACGATATGCAGACAAATGGACAGTGTTTCTTTCAGACATTTATTACGCGGAGGGGTGGGGGGTTGGACACTGGTTGAAGTATTTATTTTGTGTGTAAATTTTATTTCGTTCGGGTTGGGGTGATATGTGGGGGGGGGGGGGGGGGGGGGGGGGGTAGGAGAGGGGGTGTAGATGCCTTAAGACTGCAGGTAGAGAATAGAAATTTCAAGAAAATACAGACAGAATATAAAATAAGCTCCTAACAATGTCAGCTGGAATTTTTCTTGGAAATAAAAAACAGGACTTCCTAGTAAAATAGGGGATGCTTCATCGCTGTATTGAGCAATATAGGAGAGACCTCATCGCTGTATAGAGCTTTTGAACTCATACAAGAAGCATACGCTGGAGAGAGGGCGGGGGGGGGGGGGGGGGGTCGTTAAATTTGTTGTTGGATTTTCTAATCAAATGCGAGGGGGGAGAGGAACGGAGACTTTCTGGTGAAAGTTAATTCGTAGTCCCGAGTCCCAAATATCATTAATGAGCGGTCATTAGCCCTTACTTTATTAATACTACTCGTTAACAACAAAACAGTTATTTCCCTTATTCTAAGTGATTCCGTCCCTTGAGAACAAAAATGGACCGAGCGCTATTCTACTCATTGTTGCTTGAATCAGTTTATCTTAGAACCTGTCAGTATTGGAGTGGCAACTCACCCCAACACACCCCTCCACCACTGACACAATAAGTAGATAAATATTTAACAAACAGCGCTACTATGCGTGAACGCTGTTTCCGTGTGGGACGAATGACTGTGAGTTACTATTTAACTGTTAGGTGATCCTACATTGTTAAGTTTTGACTTATCCGGGCAATGTTTCTCAGCCACCTCCAACAATTTTTTTTCCTTAGACAAAAATATCTCAACGGGCCGGATGAGTGGGCCTCAGTTTGAAGACCCCTGACCTACAGCTTTACAAGGGCAAGGTCACTGCACGTCCATACAAAGCTGGTATAAAAATCATAATCTCTAAGACGTAGCTAAAAAAATAAACAATACGTCCACCCATCCACCCGCATAAGACCATCCCCTTTTTTCTGATGCGACCTCCAAAATAACAATGGTCTTCAAATAAGTTACTGCTAGTGGCAAAGGTCTGCGGATGTTGCTTTCAAACTGTGTGTTACAAAGTCACAATTTTGTATATATATATATATATATATACGTATATATATACACACATATATTGCATTATTTATTGCATCAGCTCATATTGAAGTTTTCTTCAAAAAAAAACATTCGAATGTTTACCGTATAAAGGTTATGTTGGAATAAGATACCTTTTCAAACACAATTCACATTATTTTTCAAATGGCAGGAAGTGTGTTTTTACCAAGCCTAATGTTTGCGTTTAATCTGATCCGGCTTTTAAGAGTATTATTTTTCTCATAAAACCTCCAAGGGAAATCACTTAATGTATTGCTGTCCAGTAGAGTTATTTCCCATGAAACACATTTAAAAAAAAAAAAAAGATGTAAAATATCTCATAAAGGCTCTTATACAGAATAAATAACAACAATAAAAAGAATATTTTTTTTGTAATCTATTCAAATTGATAAAATAAAAGTCTAGACAATTTTTGCAAGCTTCATTATCTCTTTTTCTTTTGCTTGGGAGCCAGCTCTATGCCTGTGATGAGTCGCTTGGGAATTTTATATTTTTCTGAAATAAATCAGGGTTTTAATCACGTAAGTTAAAGTTTTAATTAGTTCATACACCACACTAAAAGCTTCACAAAAATATACACGTCAGTGAGCTTAAGTTAGCAAACAGTAAAAATACAACACAGAGATATAGAAGTTAAACTTGACAAATGTCCAGACCTCTACCAGATATAGTTGACCAATGCCCACATCTGTACCTGCTAAAGTTGACCACTGCCCACACCTATACCTTGATTAACCCACCCAACTCAACCAAACTCTACAACCAACCTGTAAGGAGAGTGTAAACAAAATTGATCTGGTTTCCCTGGACCACAACTTGAGGACCCTTGTTCTTCTGCTCGGACGCCACAACAGAACAGCTGCAGGCCACGGCCTTCTGCACGACCTGGGCAAAGGTCTTCAGGTCAATGCCAAACTCTTCAAGGTTATCAACAATGGTCACCTGGATGAGAAGAGAATATAGCTCAGTGACCCTACAACACCAGAGATTTCAGAGAAAATCAGACAGCAACACACAGCAAGTTTTATTAGTGAAATAGAGAGCAACATCAGAGATACAGCAACATAAGAGATGGCATCATCAGAGATACAACAATATCAGAGATAGAGCAACATCAGAGATACAACATTAGAGAAACAGCAACATCAGAGATACAACATTAGAGAAACAGCAACATCAGAGATACAACATTAGAGAAACAGCAACATCAGAGATACAACATTAGAGAAACAGCAACATCAGAGATACAACATTAGAGAAACAGCAACATCAGAGATACAACATTAGAGAAACAGCAACATCAGAGATACAACATTAGAGAAACAGCAACATCAGAAATACAACATTAGAGAAACAGCAACATCAGAGATACAACAACAATAGAGATACAGCAACATCAGAGATACAACAATAGAGATACAGCAACATCAGAGATACAACAATAGAGATACAGCAACATCAGAGATACAACAATAGAGATACAACAACATCAGAGATACAACATTAGAGAAACAGCAACATCAGAGATACAACAATAGAGATACAACAACATCAGAGATACAACATTAGAGAAACAGCAACACCAGAGATACAACAACATTAGAGATACAGCAACATCAGAGATACAACAACATCAGAGATACAACATTAGAGATACAGCAACATCAGAGATACAACAACATCAGAGAGACAACATCAGAGATACAACAACATCAGAGATACAACAACATCAGAGATGCCGCAGAGAAATGTAGTTAGCTAAAGACAGCAAAAGTTATATTACTGAAACAGCAAGAAACAAGAGAGGCAACAAATAATTGTTGTAAAACTTAAATGTGCACTCAGGGATACAGACAAGTCGTCTATAATTCCAGCACTAATTAACCCTGGAATTTGTTGTTTCAACTGTTTTTTGTTGAAGGAATCTAATCAACTGTTTATCATAAAGGTCCAACTGTTTTATTAGAATTAATAAAGGTATTACAAATATTGTTATTCAGCAGCTTCAAACAGTTTTTTATGTAACATGGGATTTCCATTTCTTTGATGTTCTAATTATCTTAGATGAAAGGAAGTCTTTGTTGGAGGTATGTATCAAATGATGGTGTTGAACACTTACACCTGTCACTGAGGTGTGGATGCCTTACACCTGTCACTAAAGTGATCTACCTTTTTCTGTGAAGCCCTCATGGCCACGTCCAGTTTGATGGGGTCCAGTTTTCCCTTTTTGATAGTTGGAGGTCCAGAGCCTAAGCTGATGGCTACAGCTGCTTGCATCTTCCCCACCACCCTGCGTCAAGGGGAGAAAGGCAATCTTAGTTTCACATTGGCTACATACTCCTTTACATACATCCACTCCACACCAACATCATCCACCTGATCCATTCCATACCATCATCCACCTGATCTACTACACACCAACATTATCCACTTTATCTACCCCACACCAACATCAGCATATTCCACACCCAGCATACTTCCTGTTTACCCACAAGACAACAACACAAACAAGCAGAGAGCAAATTAACTTGGGATAACCTACAACACTGGAGAATCATCTGATTCATTCCTGGCACAGGTATATCATTTGTTGGCTAAAGCAACACGTTTCAAACTTTAAAAAAGTGTTTTTTCCCGGTGGTTTTAGAATGCAGGGATGGTTTGATCACCTACCTGTTGATTACCTGCCTGTTGATCACCTACCTGTTGATCAACTGCCTGTTGATTACCTACCTGTTGATCACCTACCTGTTGAACACCTACCTGTTGATCACCTGCCTGTTGGTTACCTACCTGTTGAACACCTACCTGTTGATCACCTGCCTGTTGGTTATCTACCTGTTGATCAACTGCCTGTTGATTACCTACCTGTTGATCACCTACCTGTTGAACACCTACCTGTTGATTACCTACCTGTTGATCACCTACCTGTTGATCACCAACCAGTTGATCACCTACCTGTTGATCACCTACCTGTTGATCACCTACCTGTTGATCACCTACCTGTTGGTTACCTACCTGTTGAACACCTACCTGTTGATCACCTGCCTGTTGGTTACCTACCTGTTGATCAACTGCCTGTTGATTACCTACCTGTTGATCACCTACCTGTTGAACACCTACCTGTTGATTACCTACCTGTTGAACACCTACCTGTTGATCACCTACCTGTTGATCACCTACCTGTTGATCACCTACCTGTTGATCACCTACCTGTTGATCACCTACCTGTTGATCACCTACCTGTTGATCACCTGCTCCCAGCTCATATGGTCCAGGTCACCTTCTGAGGGCTTTAAAATTATGTGAGCTAAGACAGGATCCAGTGTTACACTCACAGACCTGGAAAAAAAATATTTTAAAAAATTATGTGAGCTAAGACAGGATCCAGCGTTACACTCACAGACCTGGAAAAAAAATATTTTAAAAAATTATGTGAGCTAAGACAGGATCCAGCGTTACACTCACAGACCTGGAAAAAAAATATTTTAAAAAATTATGTGAGCTAAGACAGGGTCCAGCGTTACACTCACAGACCTGGAAAAAAAATATTTTAAAAAATTATGTGAGCTAAGACAGGGTTCAGCGTTACACTCACAGACCTGGAAAAAAAATATTTAAAAAAATTATGTGAGCTAAGACAGGGTTCAGCGTTACACTCACAGACCTGGAAAAAAAATATTTTTAAAAATTATGTGAGCTAAGACAGGGTCCAGTGTTACACTCACAGACCTGGAAAAAAAATATTTTAAAAAATTATGTGAGCTAAGACAGGGTCCAGCGTTACACTCACAGACCTGGAAAAAAAATATTTTAAAAAATTATGTGAGCTAAGACAGGGTCCAGCGTTACACTCACAGACCTGGAAAAAAAATATTTTAAAAAATTATGTGAGCTAAGACAGGGTTCAGCGTTACACTCACAGACCTGGAAAAAAAATATTTTAAAAAATTATGTGAGCTAAGACAGGGTTCAGCGTTACACTCACAGACCTGGAAAAAAAATATTTAAAAAAATTATGTGAGCTAAGACAGGGTCCAGCGTTACACTCACAGACCTGGAAAAAAAATATTTTAAAAAATTATGTGAGCTAAGACAGGGTCCAGTGTTACACTCACAGACCTGGAAAAAAAATATTTTAAAAAATTATGTGAGCTAAGACAGGGTTCAGCGTTACACTCACAGACCTGGAAAAAAAATATTTTAAAAAATTATGTGAGCTAAGACAGGGTCCAGCGTTACACTCACAGACCTGGAAAAAAAATATTTTAAAAAATTATGTGAGCTAAGACAGGGTCCAGCGTTACACTCACAGACCTGGAAAAAAAATATTTTAAAAAATTATGTGAGCTAAGACAGGGTCCAGTGTTACACTCACAGACCTGGAAAAAAAATATTTTAAAAAATTATGTGAGCTAAGACAGGGTTCAGCGTTACACTCACAGACCTGGAAAAAAAATATTTTAAAAAATTATGTGAGCTAAGACAGGGTCCAGCGTTACACTCACAGACCTGGAAAAAAAATATTTTAAAAAATTATGTGAGCTAAGACAGGGTCCAGCGTTACACTCACAGACCTGGAAAAAAAATATTTTAAAAAATTATGTGAGCTAAGACAGGGTTCAGCGTTACACTCACAGACCTGGAAAAAAAATATTTTAAAAAATTATGTGAGCTAAGACAGGATCCAGCGTTACACTCACAGACCTGGAAAAAAAATATTTTAAAAAATTATGTGAGCTAAGACAGGGTCCAGCGTTACACTCACAGACCTGGAAAAAAAATATTTTAAAAAATTATGTGAGCTAAGACAGGGTTCAGCGTTACACTCACAGACCTGGAAAAAAAATATTTAAAAAAATTATGTGAGCTAAGACAGGGTCCAGCGTTACACTCACAGACCTGGAAAAAAAATATTTTAAAAAATTATGTGAGCTAAGACAGGGTCCAGTGTTACACTCACAGACCTGGAAAAAAAATATTTTAAAAAATTATGTGAGCTAAGACAGGGTTCAGCGTTACACTCACAGACCTGGAAAAAAAATATTTTAAAAAATTATGTGAGCTAAGACAGGGTCCAGCGTTACACTCACAGACCTGGAAAAAAAATATTTTAAAAAATTATGTGAGCTAAGACAGGGTCCAGCGTTACACTCACAGACCTGGAAAAAAAATATTTTAAAAAATTATGTGAGCTAAGACAGGGTTCAGCGTTACACTCACAGACCTGGAAAAAAAATATTTTAAAAAATTATGTGAGCTAAGACAGGGTTCAGCGTTACACTCACAGACCTGGAAAAAAAATATTTAAAAAAATTATGTGAGCTAAGACAGGGTCCAGCGTTACACTCACAGACCTGGAAAAAAAATATTTTAAAAAATTATGTGAGCTAAGACAGGGTTCAGCGTTACACTCACAGACCTGGAAAAAAAATATTTAAAAAAATTATGTGAGCTAAGACAGGGTCCAGCGTTACACTCACAGACCTGGAAAAAAAATATTTTAAAAAATTATGTGAGCTAAGACAGGGTCCAGTGTTACACTCACAGACCTGGAAAAAAAATATTTTAAAAAATTATGTGAGCTAAGACAGGGTTCAGCGTTACACTCACAGACCTGGAAAAAAAATATTTTAAAAAATTATGTGAGCTAAGACAGGATCCAGCGTTACACTCACAGACCTGGAAAAAAAATATTTTAAAAAATTATGTGAGCTAAGACAGGATCCAGCGTTACACTCACAGATCTGGAAAAAAAATATTTTAAAAAATTATGTGAGCTAAGACAGGATCCAGTGTTACACTCACAGACGTGGAAAAAAAAAGTTTTGAACACACAGTTATTTCACACACGTTTTGCAATATTTCTGTTTGATACTGGTGGCAGAAATAATGATAAAAGTTAATGAAGCAACATGTTAATGATAACACAAAAATTTAAAAAGCAACAAATATAACAAAGCCTAAATTAAATGACTGTGTAGTTGTGACACAGCCACACAGCAGATATGTATAAAAATGGTGCAGTTATCACTAACATACAAAAGATATTTATAAAAACATACTTGCCCCTCTCTTCACGCTGCAAGTTGTTAGCTTTGATGTAATCTGTCACTAGCTGTCTTACATCTGACATCAACAGCGCGTCACCTTTCCTGAAGGTACAACATTTATTGTATTTACCAATTATAAACATTTGCCGTTCCTGAAGGTACAACATTAATTGTATTTACCAATTATAAATTTTGCCTTTCCTAAAGGTACAATGTTTATTGTACTGAAGCTAGTGTTTCAACATTTAAGTGTTTTTACCAAATATTAGTTGCTTTTCCTGATATACAACAGCTTATTGTTGTGAAAATTTTGCTAAAAACTGCCTTTTCATAAAACATAATTCAAGTACAAAACTAAGGGAAATAACACACAGAACATTTAGTTTAAAATATTTAAAAAAAATATGTTTAGAGTTACACACTTATTTAAAAAAATTTACTTGATAAAATAAAATGTTTTAGCTCAAAGGAAAAATATATTTTCTATGTTTTTATAGTAGTATAGATTGATTAGTATTATGTTACTGATGCAAATAGATCAATGTAATCCTCCTAACAATGACTACTAATATTTAAAATTACGACTCTAAAAGAGTCAAACTTGTAATTCTAATAGCTTAAATATGTAACTTGGTATAGAATCTGTTTCATTATATGATTCATAAAGTTAAAAATTACGAGAATGCAAAAGTGACAGTTTATGCAAAAACAAGTTTGAAAATTTCTCTGAAACTCAAAGTAGAAAATTAAAGGTGAAAACAGCTAGAATTATTTATTGTTTTTTGGAGAGAAAAAATCATTAGCAACTGTGTTCTATTTTTGGTAAGGGTGAATAGCATAGAATGCCTTTTTGCACAATAATAAAACATTTAAAATGTTGGTAATGATGATAGAATTTTGTTGCATTCTGACACATTTACAGAAACTGAGGTAACAAGTTTTGTCACAACATCAGTCACTGTCCCCACAGATACAACATTTTATTGTATACAAGACTTACCCTAGTTTAGCATCCTTATACAACATTTTACTGTATACAAGACCTATCCTAGCTTAGCATAGTTGTACAACATTTTATTGTATACAAGACTTACCCTAGCTTAGTACCCTTGTACAACATTTTATTGTATACAAGACTTACCCTAGCTTAGCATCCTTGAACAACATTTTATTGTATACAAGACTTACCCTAGCTTAGCATCCTTGAACAACATTTTATTGTATACAAGACTTACCCTAGCTTAGCATCCTTGTACAACATTTTATTGTATACAAGACTTACCCTAGCTTAGCAACTCTAAACAACATTTTATTGTATACAAGACTTACCCTAGCTTAGCATCCTTGAACAGGTCCAAAGTGGCAGCATTCACCAGGTAGACGTCAGTGAACTGTAGAGGGGTGAAGGCCGTGTCCTCTGTCTGGCCAGGTTTTTTGGTCTCTTCCTCAATCTCAGGGACCACGACGTCTCGTAGTCTGAGGATAAAAACATTTGGTATGAGGTACACATCTCGTAGTCTGAGGATAAAAACATTTGGTATGAGGTACACATCTCGTAGTCTGAGGATAAAAACATTTGGTATGAGGTACACATCTCGTAGTCTAAGGATAAAAACATTTGGTATGAGGTACACATCTCGTAGTCTGAGGATAAAAACATTTGGCTTCAGATGCATTGGCATGAATATGTATCTTAACCAAAGCAGGAATATATTTTGATCAAAACTTTCCTGAACTAAAACAAATTTATTGTTTTATTTCCATAAAATCTAATAATCAACTAAGTAAAACAACACCAATAAAGTTTAGTAGAAATTATTTTCAAACATGGTTATTGGTTGCATAATTATTTGTGTTTGTATCAGAAAAATATGTTGTGAATACATCAAGAATTTTGAGAATTAAACTAGGTAGCAAGAGAAGGAAAAAGAAAGGGAAGCAAGCAAGGAAACAAGGTTAGAGAAAGAAGAGAGAACCTACTCAGGGTGTGACTTGTCCACCTCTGTAATGACGTCCACACCTTTGGTCTGTTCTTTCATTTTGATGTAGCCATCTTTAACTTTGGACTGCAGAAACTTGGACAACTGCACAGAGAAAACAGAGTTTAATAATCTGACCATCTCACAGATCCCAGGGCAAAGACTTTTATAAAATCTAAAGGTTATTTTATGGCACCACCCTATTTTAGACTGAATTATGTCCCTTATTAGGTATCACAACATAATAATTGAGGGCGAGGGGAAGGGAAGATTGAAGCAGTGTTCAGCTTATAGTAGAAAAATGAATCCTACCTTCTTAAATGAAGAGTTTTTCAAATCCATAGGCTTGCCACCACTGCAATGAAGTAATTATTTTTTTTGATAATGCTATGACATTGTGTGACTGTTGAATTTACAAAGTTTTATACTTTGTTCATCCAAAAATATGAACACCAACAAAAAGATTAAAGATAGATTCTTATAAATTACATTTGTTTACAATAAAAAAAAAGAACAAAGTCAATAGGACAGTTAAGCCTTGTGTAAGGTTTACCTGTATGGCTGCATAAAGTTCCTTAAGAAATGACTAGTCAACAAAGGGAGATCACTCTTCTGTACTTTTGCTTTGATCGCACAAGCAAAACAAAAATGTAACAGCTCGTCCATTTCATCTGTCAGTAATAGAAGATGATATTTAAAAAAGGAATGTAGAATTTTAATAGCTATAAATATTACAAGTATATGGAACAAAATTCTATAATCAAAGCTAATTAAAAATCTTAAATTATTTTTTTAAATTCAGGTATTACAATGATAAAAATAATTCAGCTTTTTGATCAACTAACAAAAAGAATTTGTTCATTTCTCAATAAAACACTGACCTATTGGATCTTCTTCTTCCACCTTTTCTTCATCTTCACTGGACACATCTGATGATTCATTGTTTGCTGCAGTCCCAACTGGTTGGTCACTTGTCTGAAGGATATGGTCAAATGTTGTTACAGGGTTAGGGTAGAGGGGGGAGGGGGCTTGGCCAGTGTGACAAACTGACCAATGTGAGTGGGCACTAACAGGAAACAGTGGCAGACTGACCAATGGGACTAGACAGTGACAGACTGACCAATGGGACTAGACAGTGACAGACTGACCAATGTGACTAGACAGTAGCAAGAGGCAGTGACAGACTGACCAATGGGACTAGACAGTAACATGACACAGTGGCAGACTGACCAATGTGACTAGACAGTAACATGACACAGTGGCAGACTGACCAATGTGACTAGACAGTAACATGACACAGTGGCAGACTGACCAATGTGACTAGACAGTAACATGACACAGTGGCAGACTGACCAATGTGACTAGACAGTAACATGACACAGTGGCAGACTGACCAATGTGACTAGACAGTAACATGACACAGTGACAGACTGACCAATGGGACTAGACAGTAACATGACACAGTGGCAGACTGACCAATGTGACTAGACAGTAACATTACACAGTGACAAACTGACCAATGGAACCTTACAATGGCACAACAAAGTGACAGACTGACCAAACAGAACATCTACCTTGTCATCACCTCCGACCTCCAACCCCACAACACCGTCAGCCAACTCAGTTAGTCCACCATCCCCAGTAGGGGGGCTCTGTCCTTCCGTCCCCTCCCCTTCACCATCTCCCCCATCAACTGATGGAACATCCTCAGGCACCAGTGGTGGCCTAGACTTGTCCCCCAACTCCCTGAAAAAACAAAAATCTCTCACAAAAACTCTGTAATTTAACTCACACACTCCATTACATTGTTTAATTTTTTTTTTCATTTTTACACTTTAAAATAGTTAGGTTTATTTGAATAGAATTACAATGTACAAAAGAAAACCATCAATTGTAAAATTGCGCATAAATAAATTTGGTAACTGATATTCATATCCAAAAATATAGCACATTTTCAACAGTAATTTTTAATAAATACAATCAAGTTTACAGAGGTTGTCTCCCATGATAACCAACACATAGAGTACTCACCACAGATTGTCTCCCATGATGTGCAGTACTTGAACACCTTTTCCCCTCATGGCTGACATGTACATATCCTCCCCACTGAGTAGAGCCTTCCCTAAGGCTAAGGGTGATCTACAGCAGGGATGTACATAAACCATTTGTAATTTTAATTTAAAAAGTAACCTTTTCATAATTACCAAAGGAGAGAATTGGTCAATGTCAATTTCATACTTTTGTGTCAGTTTTTTCCTTCTCTATCCTGTCCAATTTTGTATTGTCAAAGCTAATGCCACCTACAATTATTTTTAAGACAATATAGTACATAGTAGATTAATCTTTTCCAATCATCTAGGCTAAAGAACCAGGGACAATGTACAAGACATGTTGTAAATCATGTACTAAAAAGACAGGAACAAAATAGACGTACACTCTAGGTCTGACATTAATTTGAAATAATCCCTAGATCAGACCTAAAATAGATATATGTTCTAGATGGACACAAAATAAAATATTCCCAAGATCAGATTTGAAATAGACGTAAGTTCTAGATACATTTTTTTTAAATGTATTTGTGACACAAAGTTAAACTTACTTGTTCCCAGCTATGGAGATGCAGACTAAATCACCTTTCTTTAGGTTCCCAAACATCTTTGGGGAGGGTTCTTTATCAGATATCACACCAGGTAGCATAAGATCTGGAACAGGACAATCGAGCAAATTCATATACGAAGGTTTGTACATTCTTTAGTGAATAACAAGTAGGTAGCATATAGAAGGGTTTGTACATTCTTTAGTGAATAACAAGTAGGTAGCATATAGAAGGGTTTGTACATTCTTTAGTGAATAGCAAGTAGGTAGCATATAAAAGGGTTTGTACATTCTTTAGTGAATAGCAAGTAGGTAGCATATAGAAGAGTTTGTACATTCTTTAGTGAATAACAAGTAGGTAGCATATAGAAGGGTTTGTACATTCTTTAGTGAATAGCAAGTAGGTAGCATATAGAAGGGTTTGTACATTCTTTAGTGAATAACAAGTAGGTAGCATATAGAAGGGTTTGTACATTCTTTAGTGAATAGCAAGTAGGTAGCATATAAAAGGGTTTGTACATTCTTTAGTGAATAAATTATAAGGCATCTGCCACTCAATACAAACTTTCAGCTAACTTGTAAAAAAAGCAATTGTTGACATTACCAAAACAAATAACTATACACATTGTAAAACAATCAGAAAAGACTTTCAAAATTTTAAAAATGTTTTGATTTCATTAGTTAAGTACCTGCACCCTTCTGTAGTTTTTCAAAGACTGGCGGCCAAGTGCGGAATACTGGGAGGAGGCTTGGGTACTGCCACAGGGTGTACACTGTAAGATTAAATGTGATTTATAATTTTAATTCAATATTTAACACAAATATTTTAAAAGAAACATAAATTCTTAGAAAAATCTTTTCTGAAATGGCCTACCCTTTCAGACCAAATAAAGTTTAATCAAGTGGCTGACAGGGTGATTTTTGTTTCTGAATACTGAGGTAGCTTTAGCTCCACAGTGAAAAACTAAAACAAGCCTAAATAGCCAAGCCTAAAATGCCACTAAGAAAAATGACCACCATACCTGTGGGATATAGTGTTTTAAAATTTTCAAAAAAGATTGGATTTTTCCCTGTGAAGTAGACAAGGATGTTTTCATCAGCTGAGGTGTTAATTTTTGTAATGCTCATCTCCTCCTTGTTAGGAACCAGAACTGTGACGTCGGATTCAGTCAGGACAGAAAACTGCTTCAAAATATCAGCTCGCAACTTTTTTCTGGGGATACAATAACATATATTTAAGGAATTTAATAATATTGGGCAATAAATTTAATAAATTTAAATTTTTATATTAATGTAAAAAAAATGCTTTATTAAGCTTTAACTCTGAACTACCCTTTTAAAACATAAACAACAACGCACATTAAATTTTTCTGAAAATATTTAAATGACAATTAAGACTAAACAGCAAATAAACAACAGAAAATTAAAAACCTGTCTGAGCTTTTAATTGATGTCTGTGTCTTTACTCGAAAAGGTTTTTGAAACATCTTCAGAAGATAATAGTTGACTCTGCACCTGCAAAGTAATAAACATCAACTTCAGGTAGGCTTACAAGAGTATCAATAATTATATTATGCCTAGAAGAAGGCCTAATCACTTATCTAGAATAACTAATAAAAAAAGTAATTCTCACATAAAAAAACATTTTAAGGAAAAAGACTTATATTCACAAATGACAAAAAAGTTACAAATGAAAAAATCCACTAAAAAGTAAAAAAAAATAAAAAAATTAGAGTTTACCTGACTAAAAATTGAACATAGGTCTTATATTATAGAATGTAAACCTATCAATGAATTCTCTATGAAAGGCTAGTCTATATATTCTCCATAAGATATTAGGCCTATTATAATTATTTTGAATCTAGGCCAAGATTTTAGTGATTAACAAACTAAAATTAGCCTACTATTATTAATTAACTATATTAGGGGCCTAATAGTTTAATATAGGCTTCAGGCTACCAAAAGGCCTAATAATAATTAATATTTAGCCTTATGCCAGATACTCGGATGTTTACTCACTGGATACTACTGGATATAGAATAGATAGATCTAGCTAGATAGACTAGAGGCCTTCCAGCTTCAAGACTCCTGATCCTAGCTAGTACTACTACTACTAGTAGAACTAGACTAGAGTCTAGAGTAGAGTCAATATATGGATGTGTATGATGCCCAGGCGGTCTCTAGTCTAAGTCTAGAGACAGACTCACTACTACTAGATCTAAATCTATAGAGGGTTAGAGTGAAGAGTGAAAAGACAAATTCTGAGTAACTTGAGTAAGACTTAAGAATAAGAGATTCTCTTTAGTCTTTACTCTTTGACGTCTTTGTAATTGTTGACAATGACATGCTGCAGCTCTGCTGCTGATGATGCAACGATTAATTAACTAGTAATTACTAAATAATTAGGCCTAGCTCTACAGTAATCTACACATGCCAGCAATCAGTTCCTAATTTTAATTGTATTTAGATCGAAATCTACGTTAAGCTTATTAATTATTATCTTATTTACTTTTCTCAGTCTCAAGCTACCTGATTGCACAAACTTAATATTTTGATTTCGTTTAGTAGACAATGCTTTTCACGAAAGACAACTCTAAAATTGAAAGATAAAAACATAATATTTTGAGCTGAGTTGCCGCTCCTAGGTAGCAAGAATTTTTTTAAGTTCTTTTATTGAGTTGCCCTTTACTCCTGTTATTTGAGTTGAAGTGTAGAGATATTATAATCTACTAAAGGTATTTAATATAAGGGAGTAGAAGATACAAACAGAAAGTCATTATTTTAAAAAAGAAACGCCAGAAATAGCGGAACTAGATGATATTTAAAAATTAAAGAACCTAAAGAATCATCCATAACGTTTATTCTAATAATATATATATATATATATATATATATATATATATATATATATATATATATATATATATATATACATACAAAGGTGTCATAAGGTGGTAACTGATGGTGTCACCCCAATCTCCTTCCCCATTGTTGTATTTTCGGTTTTGTGTCATCCCTCTTCCCCACTATTTTATTACTTTAGCCTGATAAATGATGGTTTTGACAGTAAATTTTGCCACATCTTATCCTTACTGAAAAAAATCATGTGTCCCACCGCCGAGTTAAATAATGCAGGATCAGCTATATGCTCTTTCGGTAATGGCTGCAAAAAATCACATTTTTCAGTTGGAAAAGTAGACAAGTATACTGAAGTATACTGTAGACTGTGTGGATTTGTGTGGGTCTACATTTGGATTTGTGTGGGTCTATTCTATATGGTTGTGTAGAGACGTAGTAGTGCAAGTGGTTTCTTTCAGACTTTTCACTATGGGGGAGGCGAGGGGTGAACGGAAAAAAAGTCACAGGAAAAAAAAACACAGAAAAAAAGTCACAGTTTTTGCTAGGTTAATGGGGGTGATGTCGTTAACGGATGAGCGTGGGTTTTTTAATGGGCGCGATGTTGTTGGTTTGTGGGCGTGGTCTCGTTGATTGATGGGCATAAGCTCGTCGGAGAGCGTTGTATCCTAGCTTGATGGGCGGTGTCTTGCGTGTTGGTGGGCGTGGTTGGTGGGCGTGGTTGGTGGGCGTGGGTACTATATCTACTACTTCTATAATTATCTCTTTCACAACTAGTGATAGCTGTGTTATTTTGACATTCAGATAACAGGCATGATTCAGACAGACTTTCGTCTTTGAAGTCGTGAAATTGCTGATTCGTGCCTCAAACCCCAGTTCTAACGAGCACGCGAGAGAGCAGTTAGGTTTGAATGGGAATTCCCCGAAATGGTTGAGTGCGAATGTTGGGACAAGCTGATGACTGATATTAGAGATGAACGATTCCATTAATGAGAAGGTTGGGACAACCATACGCGCGTGCGGGAAACGTGGACGTTAACTGAAAAGGTTGTGTGTGGTGGTGGGGGGAGGGTGTATGTCGAGAGTCTATAGCTTATAGCTACTTCCTTTTTCAAGATACACGTAATATGTTTCGACTGTCACAATGGATTAATTGAGGTGTAAAGAAAACGCGTAGAAATGAAAGCTACTTCATTAAAAAAAGTTCATCTTTACATACATTGGCAAACGTCTTTTTGTCAGCGCCTATTTTTGTATGTATTTTTTTTTCTGGAGATGGTAGTAGCTAGAAACATATGTACTAAAAGTATTGTAGACACTTTTTTTGGAGGAGAGGGTGGGGGGGGGGGCAGTTCTTCAAACTCTATCCACTCCATTATCCCCCCCCCCACCCCGTCCCCAATCAGAGCACTGATCAATGCACACGTGTCGGCCCATTGCATAACATCGAGTTTTTTTCTTTTCTCGACTTTCAACCAATTAAACTTTATCATACACGAACTGTTACCAGAGTAACAATAACAATAAAAAAAAGAAAAAAAAACCCAACCCAGATGGCTTACCGAGTAAACCTTACAATATAAATAAAAACCACAGAAAACTTTCTTCCTGGAGAAGCTGTAGACCAATGTTGGTCAATCCGTGCCTATATTGGCGTTGACGAAAGATGTCGCTTTTTCTTTATCCTCTGGCTGACAAAAGACTGATCTCCGACTAACAAAAGACCCTATTCGCCGGCGGACAAAGTAATCCCGGACATACGCTATAAAATAACCTCTTACCAAGAAGGCCGGGTCTATTGTGAGCTTAATTCGGAATTAGGAGTTTTTTTTTTTTAGCTCAACCATAGCGTCAGCTCACAATAACTTTTAGGACCCCTTTAGGACCCCACCCCCTCTATACACAAACTACGAAGCTCCACCCCACCCTACGCACACAACTCCACACAAAAAAGTACACATCTCACACAACACACCAAACTCAGACCCAGACAATCAAATACCTTTCAGCACAACTCAAAATTTGACTGAAAGAGAAAGTTAAGACAAATAAACCGGGAGTGATCTCCCCAAAACTTTCTCGAATATTCTTATATAAAATAACAGGGTATGGGAACTCGGGCTATAGACATGGTTTTTAATCCATTTTAAATACTTAAAGTTTTTAAAATAGAATAAAATCTCGTAGACAAATTAATTGCACACCAAGTGAACGCTAAATAAATAAACCGGGAGTGATCTCCCCAAAACTTTCTCGAATATTCTTATATAAAATAACAGGGGATGGGAACTCGGGCTATAGACATGATTTTTAATCCATTTTAAATACTTAAAGTTTTAAAAATAGAATAAAATCTCGTAGACAAAAGAAATTGCACACCAAGTGAACTAGTGAACGCCAAATAAAAAAGTGCACAATAGCGCGCAATATTATTAGTACTTTAAAAATTTACAACAGTTTTTTGAGAAATCGGAAGTAGCGTAAATTACTACTTCCGGTCAACGGAAATTACTCAAAATTTAACAGAAGGTAGAGAATTAGATCGTTTACTTACATGTGAAATTTCATTTATCTATCTGAAATAGTACTCAAGTTATAGGCTTTTGAAAAATTCAAAGTAGGAAAAGTACCACTTCCGGTTATCGGAAATCGCTCAAAAGTTGATACGGATCTACGATTTTGATAAAATACTTATATATGAAATTTCATCAACCTAGCTGTAACGGTACTCAAGTTATCGTGTTTACACACGGACACACACACACACACACACAGACACACAGACATACGGACAGAATTGCAAAGCCCAGTTTTTCAGACTGGATTACGCATAAAACCTCTTAATTTTGATAAATCTGGATTGATAATTTTTGCCCGATTAAAATAAGTCCTCTATATTTCGGATGTGATGAAGGACTGAGGTGTAATACGGTGAAAATTGTTAAAATTTCAAGTGATTTTTGTGCACGATTACAATACTTTCTCTATACTTCGTATATACGAGAAAGTAAAAACGCATAATAGTGCGCAATTTTATTAGTACTTTTAAAATTTACATTAGTTTTTTGAGAAATCGGAAGTAGCGTAAAGTACTACTTCCAGTCAACGTAAATTACTCAAAATTTTACAGAAGGTAGAGAATTAGATCTTTTACTTACATGTGAAATATCATTTATCTATCTGAAATAGTACTCAAGTTATAGGCTTTTGAAAAATTCAAAGTAGAAAAAGTACCACTTCCGGTTGTCGGAAATCACTCAAAAGTTGATACGGATCTACGATTTTGATATAATACTTATATATGAAATTTCATCAACCTAGCTGTAACGGTACTCAAGTAATCGTGTTTACACACGGACAGACACACAGACACACACACACACACACACAGACATACGGACAAGATTGCAAAATTATGTTTTTCCGTATCAGTGAGGTGTAAAACGTCGAGATTTGTAAAAATCTCGATTTTTTTTTTTTTTGCACGATTACAATACTTTCTCTATACTTCGTATATAGTCTACGAGAAAGTAAAAACTCTCGACGTAATTTGTTGCAATACATCTTAAACCAATGCGGGTTAGCAGGGGTCGTATTGTTTGTGTGACTTGATTTATTTTGTGAATTGTTTTATTGTGTGAATTGTTTTATTGTGTGAATTGTTTTATTGTGTGAATTGTTTTATTGTGTGAATTGTTTTATTGTGTGAATTGTTTTATTGTGTGAATTGTTTTATTGTGTGAATTGTTTTATTGTGTGAATTGTTTTATTGTGTGAATTGTTTTATTGTGTGAATTGTTTTATTTTGTGAATTGGGTTTTGCAAATCTTTCAGTGTTTGCAAACTTTGAAGCGTGCCTTTTAATTTGCCCAACTTTATATTTGCGTATTATTTTTGTGTGCTCTAATTTTTGTTTACACAAGTTTCTGATAACATTTCAATTTGTTCGCATTTTCATTTTACTTTTTTCCGTAGAGCCTTTTTTTGTAAACCGCTGTCTAGACAGTTAAATTTACCACGCTGATAAGACTGGCCGTGCTGACCAGACAGCTAGACTGTCCAGACTTACCAGACAGCTAGACTATCTAGAAATACCAGACAGCTAGACTGTCTAGATATACCACACAGCTAGACTGTCCATGCTACCCATACAGCTAGACTGTCCATGCTACCCATACAGCTAGACTGTCCATGCTACCGATACAGCTAGACTGTCCAGACTTACCAGACAGCTAGACTGTCCAGATTTACTAGACAGCTAGACTGCCCAGACAGCTAGACTGTCCAGACTTACCAGACAGCTAGACTGTCCAGACGTACCAGACAGCTAGACTGACCAGACAGCTAGCCTGTCCATGCTACCCATACAGCTAGACTGTCCATGCTACCGATACAGCTAGACTGTCCAGACTTACCAGACAGCTAGACTGTCCAGATTTACTAGACAGCTAGACTGCCCAGACAGCTAGACTGTCCAGACTTACCAGACAGCTAGACTGTCCAGACGTACCAGACAGCTAGACTGACCAGACAGCTAGCCTGTCCATGCTACCCATACAGCTAGACTGTCCATGCTACCGATACAGCTAGACTGTCCAGACTTACCAGACAGCTAGACTGTCCAGATTTACTAGACAGCTAGACTGCCCAGACAGCTAGACTGTCCAGACTTACCAGACAGCTAGACTGTCCAGACGTACCAGACAGCTA